GGTCTAGGATCTGCAGAGGCAAAACCGCTATCGGAACCTCCAGACCTCAAGGACTGGTCAAAGATTCCTTCCTAAGTCTGTATAAGTCTTTCCGATATCAATTGAAGAACCAACAGATTGACAGTATGTACTCGGCATTGAAATATTTGAAAAACTTTTTCCCATATTTCATTTAGCCATACCCATATACAGGTCTGGTCGAACTAAACGTGGAGATGGTAGAAATGTATACGTCCAGTTGAAGAATGCGAGCGCGGGCAAAGGAAAACAAACACAGTTGCAGTGGGCTACTGAGCAATAAATCTCAGCAGTTGACAAGTGGTTGATAAATTGGCCAGCAGTGCAGTGCAGCAATGCGGAATTTGGTGTAATTCAGGTAATTTTAATTTATTATAGGCACCTTCAATCATTAATATTACAATTGCGAAAGGGAGAAATAAGAGGGATATTTTGTTTACTAATATTATCACAACATGGCATTTTGGAGGCCTTTTGAAACGGAACAAAACGAAATTTATCACCAATATAATAAAACTGTTTGAGGACATAAATAATTAAAATATGTTGTTGGCCAAATTTTCTACAGCTTATATACAAATTATTATAATTTTTTACCTTTAACAGAAAACTTTTTTAGGGACCCCTACGAAACTCATTAAATTTTATTGCCAGGCGTTTTTTGCATGTTCAACTGACTTCGGAAAGATTTATAACTGGTACATAGGTATAATACAGTAATAACGCGTAAAATCATGGTACTTCAAGTGTGTTAAATATCAGAACAGGCTGTCAAAGCCTTATAACCTCTAAAAAATGTACGCCCTACAAATAGTGTAGCATACGATTTTTATTACTTTCAAATGAGTCTCCGCAAAGTAGGTACATCCCATAACCAAAAACAAGAGCACATTTTAAGTATAGAGTAAAAATAAGAATCATTTTAACATATTAGAAATAAATGAATGTTTTCTATTATTTTTAACTATACAGGAAGTACTTAATCACCATGATAACCCCATGATACACTTTTTTACTTACGTATACTTTTAATATTGTATTACTTTTAATGAATATAATTTTGATGACTGCAGAATTCAATATACGAGTAGGTTTCTAAAAAAATGGTAAATATATTTTTTTATATACACATACAGGGCGTCCCGAAAATCCTGGACAATCTCTCGAATTTGGGCAGGCATCTTAAAAATAACGTCACAAGTTCATACATTTTTTTATTAGATCGATTTTTCGTTATAACTTTTTTATTTCTTGTTAAATTTGGACAATTTTTGGGTAAAAGCTATGTTATTTAGGGTAGATTATACTAATTACTTTAATTTATTAGCTACATTGGGGTTACTAACTACACATACGCCTATCTAATTTTTATAGTTCTCTCTAAAATGTTCGTACTTTTTTAACTAAAAAAAGTGTACTTCTTTAATATCGATGTAAGAAACAATTTTCGAAACCAATAATTAGCGTTTATACTGCAAAATAAGTATGTAGCAACAAATCCCATTTGACACTATGCATTTATTTTGCTAAATAAACAACTCATTATTCTTTTACGGTTTTTATTATTATTAAGATATGTCCTCGCATATGTCGGATATACAGGCTGTTACAAATTCGCTTCTCACTACAGGGATCTTGGAAACGGTAAGAGATACCAAGTAGCTTGAAAAAAAACTGAAATTTTGGAAATCCGTTTTTGTTTCATTTCAGCCTTGTTTGAGGTGATATTGAAAAAAGAAGAACACTCTCATGGCAACTTGTTGCCATCTATCGAATGACATAATCAATTTTTATATATAACGTTTCATCTCTCCAGGACCATCATCAACTTCATTTTTTTAAATACGACCTTTGAAATTTTATTACATCTTTTGCAAGCCTTCATGACCCCCGATATTGTACTGTCTCATCTAGAGTCAGATTCAGACATTTTGTCTCGAAAAATTCATCTTCAACGTATCGTTGCAAAATCAAAATTTTTTTTTATTTCTATGTTTATTGAATTATCGTACAATTGTTAGACGTTGTGAAATCCACTTAGTTATTTAAACTATTACCATCACACGTTACAATAAAAAATTAAGAGTTTTAACCCCTTGCTCATAGTTATTTGTAGGGTTCTCGAATGCTCAAAATTTAAACAAATTTCGATCTATTATTTTTTCAGGATATTCATACAAATACATCTGACATGCTCTTTCACACTTGCGATTGCAGGTATAATAAATTCGCGTCATATTAAGTTTTATCTTCATTTTCAACATTTTACCAAAACGGAAACGTTTTTGAACAATTACTGTAATTTTTTAAAGTATAATATTCATTTGGAGATTTGGTTGTTCATTGTTTTAATTAACTAGGTGGATTTAACAGGGTCTAACGACACATACGAGTTCAATTCAATAAACATATATATATACATTGAAGATGAATTTTTTGAGTATATCTTTTTCATTAAAAATAAGACAAAAATTAAAAAAGGTCTATAATATTTAGGGGGTCAAGGTGCTTTGCTCTCAGACCGCCAAAGTTGCTATAGGTAAATTGGATACATTAATACAAATAGCTTCAAATAACATTTTTTACCCGAAAATTTAATGAAGAATAAAAAAGTTACAATGAAAAATAAATCAATTTTTAATTTCCAACTTGAAAAGGTAATAAAGAGTTAATAAAAATAAACTTGCGACGTTATTTTTACAAGGCCTATCCAATTATCCATATCTAATAGATTATGCACAATGCTTTGGACACCCTGTATATCTTATTACATAAAACGGGGGCTTGTTAGTTAGGCTAGTTTATATCTCATTAAATTATTTAATATACTAAAATATATATTTATTTATTTTTATTTGTGAAATATAAAAATAAATCAAATCCAAATATTTTAAGACGAACAAAGATCCTTTACATTTTATTTATAAATAAATGTTAAATAATCGTACCAGAAATATTACAACGTTGATGTTCATTCTCTATCACGTTTTCGGCTGCTACCCATTATTTTTAGGTGTATTGACATAATGTAAAATATTTGTCGACAAGAGATTTGTTTTGCTTTCTGTGTAGATCAGTGGTTTAAAAACAATAATATTTAGAAGGTGTGTTTATAAATACATTACTTACATTTTATCTCTTCAAAACAATGAAGTGCCAATAATAAACTAGATTGTTCGTATCTCAAAAAACGTATTTTTCCGTTCTCACACGAATTGAGTTCGTTGACAAATAATTTACGCAGGTGAAAGGAAAAAAGTTTACAGCATATTTGAACGATGTTTACGTTTTATAAAACTACCTAGGTATATCCTAGACATTGTATAATCGTATAATGTTTATGTTTAATATTTTGATAGCATAAGCATGTAAACGAATATTGCGATTCCCAGATGTAAATATACAGTATGTTTCAACACAATAGGAATAAGTTTAAACGTTAATATGAGCAAATAACATGTATACTTAAATATGTATGATGATAGAAATACTTATATGTTTATAGTCAAAATCAAAATTAACTAGTAAACATGTTTCATTTTTAAATTAAATCATTATCAGAAACACGTGAATATATTTATATCTTAATATTTCTAGATACTGCAAATGTTTAATGAGTAATTCCAGCTCTAACGTAAAATTAGTAATAAATGCCGACAGGGATCTGTCTCAGCTTAATGTCTTAGCAGCTACTAAAAAATCATGACAGATAATAGGGAACGTGCTCAGAAATGAAATTCAAATCCGCAAACAATGCGAAATGATAATTTAAATGTAGGTATTCATTACCATCTTCATGCCTTATAAGCTTTCGTAAGTGTTTCTTCCGGATACTGACGTGATGCGTCTAAATTTCCTTTTGCTTCGCCGTTTGCGTTATCAATTTCATGAAAAGCTAAGCATTCTTAATTTTGCTCTTAACACTTCAAATCTCAATGGAGTGACACTGAAATGAGGATCCGGGGCTACTCTTATACTGATCTAGTGGATTATTTAGAACAGTTAGCAGAGATAGCAAATCATCAGCAGTCAGTTGGTCTGTTGCAAATAAGAAACCACAAAGACCATTATGACATTCGAGATACTATTGAAAGTACTAGGATTCCTTGGAAAAATGAATCATTGGAACAATTTCAAAAAATAATAGCAATTGCAACGCCTTGAAATTTACCCTGAACGTCATTGCGGTTATTACTGAACCACGACGATTTATCAGATCAACCAAAGCGGAAGACGATTACAAAAATAAACTTTGAAGATTGAATATTAAAAAAAAACACGAAAACGCTGTATCATGGGGTTCCGTTGAATACTTTCCATATGATTTTTATAACATACATATAATACACAGAAACCGCAATAATTCGCTTTTGCAGAATGTATGATGTAACATTTTTAAAAAATGAGCAGGCAATTTTACTGATCTGTAACGTTGATAATTGAAATTAATTTTTATCAGAAAAAACCTTTTGTAAACAGTAGTTTTCTCAGAAAGGATTATAACAGTAGATATGCTTACATTCTCCTTAAATTTCCTCTTAAACACGAGTAGTACATTTAAGTGACTATTTGTTGAACTATTTGCATACATCACTTATGTGATGGGTTGGCAGTTAATATTTATTACTACAGATTATTACGGTTACGTTACAATTCAGCTTTCTTTTTATACCGGCCGACAGTATATAAAAATTTCTCTTAAAACTAGACATTAATTTTGTTCATACACAAAATTGTATGTGTATGAAATCTGACATATTTTTATGACAAGTTCTCTAGACATGACAAAAACTTACATTTTGGTCCAAACCGTATGGGAAATTCTGATAATAATTTAGATTCAAAACATAAGGTAGCTGCATACCTGCTTTTGAAAATATCTGTAGTAGGATTCTTATAACTAGGCACCTAGGTAGCAAGTTTGAAATTCTATAGAACCTCACAACAATATAACAATGACAGTGAAAAATGGGTTTTCTTACCGTTCATGGCTGCCCCGGACATTGATGTGGAATTCTGAAAAATAACACCCGAATTAAAAATCTCAGGTAAACAAACGCATCAGGCTGTTGCACAATAAAGTAAAACTCGTTTCCCGTAATGTAAACCGACAATATTGACCCGTTCGAGTAATGTGAGGCGTAATATTTCCGGAAATCAATACAAATTTGTTTTAAAATTACCAGTTACGTCTAGTTTCCCGGTAAAGTAAATATTTTTAATTAGATGCTAGACATGTGAGCGATATCATAAACGGTAATATTTGCCGCAAACGCACTGTTGTGAAATAAAGAAATATCAGTCGTACAGAAGTAATAGCTAGTCGGCTTACCTGGTCAATTAAAAAAGGTGGAAAATCACAGATTTTCACTGTAAATACACTGTTACAACATACACGTGGTGAAAAATTGCGCTTTTACAAGAGAAATGTGGTCGTACACTTCAACTGCCATATTAAACAACCGCTTTTATGGATCATGCGCAGTCAGATTATAATTTCCACCTTATTCCAGAACAATCGAGTTTTCTAATTCAATTCGTCTCCAATGCTTTCTCGTTTATCTATCGGATAGTAGATGGCGCAATAGTGCAACTGTTAAACATTTTCGGATGCTGACCTTTAACAGAGATATTAATTATTAGATTTTTTGTATTATTCATGAAAATTAAAATAAAAAATAACCGATTTATTAAGTATTATAATGAAGACATCTGTATGGACTTCTACTTATTGTCTAACGCGTGCATCCTTAGAGCATGGAGGAAACACGCTTATGGGGTATGGGCGCCAGTGTAGTCGAGTGACAGAGAGAGAAAGAAATAGTTTGGGTACAATCTTATTCTCTCGCGCAGGCACATGATTGGCAATAACAGGGACAGAGAGCGAGTGAGAGAGCGAGTACCCAAACTATCCCTCTTTCTATAAAGTCTACACTTTTTAACGCGCGGTGAGTAAATTATTCTCACAATAAATAATGTTTTGGGATATGTTAGCGGTTCAGTTGTTACGGTAAGTAATGAACTAATGGCAATAATAATAAAGGCCACTTCCTAATGCCCCGAAGAAATCACGAATTTTACTTCTGTTTTATTTATTTGTTTCACTTGAACTTCACAGGTGTGATTTGAATAATGCAGATGCGTTAACGGTAGCTTGATTATTAATTACCTCTTGTAGGTACTTCCTAAACGACCGACGCTATTAATTTCGATAGTGAAACATTTTAAGACATTATTTCTGATGTACATAGAATTCATAGATTCATATCTTTATTTAACACGTCATTCATTATTTATTTTATAATTTTTAACAAAATATAGAAAATAACGAATAATTTTAATTAAAAATATAATTAAAAATATGCTCAAGTTGATCTGGTTATTTGGTTTATATATCTAGTTATTACTTTTAACTGCAAAAAATATTTTCAGTTCTGTTACAAATGTGCTAAGAGATCTATTAATATTTCATGGCCAACATTAACAGTGGTAAATTAGAGGTTTTGCCATCAGATTTTATGACAAAAATAAATGTTAAATACTTATATAATAATGGTACCAGTACCAATTAATGATAAACATGTGCTTAACCTACATTTCAAATTAACAAAACTATTATTATTTTCATAATTTATAGCCACTGGATACAACAATAACTGTTATTGCGGAGAACAATGCAAAAGATTATAAGTTTAATGTATTATATTTATTAAATATAATCCGGAAATTAGAGAATCTACATGAAACATATTATATAGTTTCTTGAATTAAGAATAAATGATTAATACATTAAAAACTTTTAGGTCAGTTACTTATTTCAAGATTATGATATATGGGGTCTGTTCAGAAAATAACCAAACTTTTTTATTTACGCGCTAATGGAGATATTTAGTGATATGCGGTTGGCAGCATTGCTTTGCGCATAACCTCCTCTGGAACCACATGTTCTTGGATTCTTGACATCTCGTGATATTGTTATTTGAGTGCAACGTGTTAGTGACAATTTTTGAAACGTGCGATTTTCTGAAACAACAATCCAACGTAAAATTTTGCTTGAAGCTGGGGAAAACTTTCACCGAAACGATTCAACTTTTGAAACAAGCTTACGGAGATGATGCTCTGGGTCGTGCGCAATGTTACGAATAGTTTTCACGATTTAAAAGTGGTCATCAGTCAATTGAAGATGATCCTCGACCAGAAAGACCTTCGACTTCAACTGATGACTCCCATGTTCAGAAAGTTAAATATCTGGTGTGTGTAAATCGCTGAGTGACTGTCAGAGAAATGGCAGAAGAAGTTAGCACCTCAATTGGGTTATGAAACCTTGACTGAAAAATTGAACATGCATCGAGTTGCAGCAAAATTTGTTTCTCGTTTGATGACCGACCAACAGAAAGGAAATCGAGTGGACGTTTGTCGACAACTCCGTGAACATTCCAATGACGATGAAACATTCATTCAAAGGATCATAACGGGAGATGAAAGCTGGGTTTAGATAAAAGTTCAATAATCACAATGGATTGGCAAAAGATCTCCACGCCCCAAGAAAGCATGTCAGTCTCGATCCATGTCAAAGTGATGCTCAATGTTTTTTTTCAACATTAATGCGTGTACTGTCAAGACGTTTTACAACGGTTACGTGAAAAAATCCGCAAAGAGAGACCAGAGTTGTGGCAAGACAACTCATGGTTCTTGCACCATGATAATGCGTCCACATACTTAGCTTTCTCAATTTGTCAGTTGTGCGCCAATGTACGATTACTGTCCTCCCTCGTCCTCCTTACTCGCCAGACCTGACTCCTTATGATTTTTTCTTATTTCCGAAAATAAAATCTGTGCTGCTTTCTGACTTTTGACGACATCAAAACAAATTCGTCACAGACGTTAAAGGCCGTTTCAAATAAAGCTATCCAGGACTGCTTCGCGAAATTGAAACACCGCTAGGAAAAGTGTGAAAATAAGGGGGGGGGAGTACTTTGAAGGAGACAAGGACCAATAATGTGTAAAATTAATAATAAAGTTAAAAAATAAAGTTCGGTTATTTTCTGAACAGTCCTCGTATGAATATAACAGATAAATTTCTTTGGCTAGGTATATATAAATAATTAATTCTTAATTCAAGAATTTTTTTTCAGTTTACGGACATTATTAGTAGCAATCAAAAGGAATTTAAATTAAGAAGTCTTCCTTGATAAGTCAAATTTAAATGTCTAATGCTACATCTATGTGTAGTTTAGTAGTTCTATTATCTACGATAACTTTACCTTTAGTAGGTATAAAGTCACTACAAATATAAATTATAGAAAATATATTTAATTCAAGACATTTTTATTTACAAGCATTGTTAATTTTAAACTTGATTTTAGCAAGGTCGTGGATTCTCGATAATTCAAGAACATATACAGAAAAATAGATGACATTAAAAATAAATGTTTCAATAATTTTACTCAAAAATAATTCATTTTATATTTAAAAATATAAGCAGTTTCTTCTGATACCCAAATATGTATCAGGACACTTTATTCCAAAATTATGATCAAACCCAGTACCCACATGAATTTGTCTTTGCATTGTGATGGTAAAATAATTTTACCAGCTACCCGCTGCACTTATTTACTTAAATGCACATATTTAAAAATAACTTGTTTGTTCATGTAGGCGATTCTCATGAATTCAATGTAGTATTATTCGCCTTTTTTCATAAGAGTGATGTAGAAAGTTATCTGGTAGAATAATAATTATTTTGATGACCTCAAACAATTCTTGAAAATCAGAATTTGCAAACATAAAGTCCTAGTAAAAAACAGATTGACAATATTCTAAATATATTTCTGATGTTTAATTAGCAGAGAACTATATTATGTGCAGATGTTTGCAGCGCTGGATTTACACTAGAGGCACTAGGGGCTAGTGCCCAGGCCGGCAACTTCCCAGAGGCGGCAAAATTCGGAGCTTGAGAAAAAATTTTTTTGAGCTATCTTCAAAAAGTATGCATTTACAAATAAAAATAAATACAATAAATTTATATATTTATGTAAAAACATATATGATTACAAAATCATCTATAATTTATATAATTTATATAACAATATAAAATATGCATTACACTATTACGTAAAATTATATATAATAATATATAATTTTTTCCCCGGGTAATTATTTTAGTTCAAACTACGCGCTGCGAAATGCCTAAGAAATTGGTTTTTATAGCGGAAAGTCAAAAAGTATTCTGGAAAATACAACGAGATCATCGTAAAGCTTACTAACTGATAATACAGACAAAATAATCAATTTTTGCAGATGAATTTTAAACAAGTATGAATAAGTAGACTAAGATTTGCATATTATTTTCGGAAAAGAAGTAAATTATCTCCAAAACCGCTGCTACTATTAAAAACCAGCAAGAAACACTTTTCATTTATTTATCGTAACAGTACCTACCTGAATTTTTAACATTATTTCTACAAAAAACCACCAGTAGCGTATTTTTTTCTTGGGAAAACAAAGCGACATCTTCAGCGACTAGCGGCACGCCACTGGTTAATTTCACGAGGTTAATGTTACATTAAATAAAAGGTCTAATTAAGTGAATACGCTGTAGTAAATTTCATCCAAATCGTTTGCCGCATTATGAATATATGACAAAAAAATATTTATTTTTTGGAAACTTGAACACCTTGTATCTCGAATACCACGTTCCCTAGGAAAAAAGTTTACTTATTTTTTGGTAATGAATTTAGTTGTGCAGTTTCTGTATTTAAAGTAAACCCTGTATAAATAGTGTAAATTTTAATAATCATCTGGATCAGAGATTCCCAAACTGTTTTGTCTCTTAGACCACGTGCCAATTTTTTCTGTTTTGGGTAGACCCCCTCCTTTCTAATATGTATTGAATTCTTACAAAATCAACTTGAAATGTGTATTTGACAGATGGCACAGTGTTTTTACAAGTTACGAGTGTTGCGACCACAAAGCGAAAAGCCCATTGCACGATTTTATGAAATATAGTTAATTAATATGTAATTGACTGTAGTAAATAATATAATTGTTTATGAAATTTATAATAATTCTTGAACAGTTTGATACATAAGAAAATAATAACTAAAATTTCAATAACAAAAGTATAACAATAATTTTATAAGTAAAACGAAATAAGTTGATTGAACTCAAGAATATATTATAAAAATAAGCATTAATTAAAATTCAAAGCAATTAAGTTATTGATTTGAACTGGGTAACGGAGATTGATCACATCATCGATCTCGAATTTTCCCATGATTAAAGCATGGAGTCATAAAGTTCCAAATATCTAGACGTCAATTATAAGAAAGTAATATACAGGGCGTTTCTTAATAACGTGCTAATATTTAACGAGGTTATTCTTGGGTCCATTTTAAGAAAAAAACTTCATATGAACATATGTCCTAAAAGTCTTAACTTTTGAACTACAGG